ACTGTATATATACCTTAGATATATGTAGTGTCGAACTGCAAAGGAGTAAATCTTTGCTACATCTCGGACAGAAATGTCATGTCTGTATATTCCAAGGAAACCACATTCACAGATCCAGTCGCCCAGCTCTGTCTGCAGCCTCTGGAGGTCTGCCGTCGTTTTGCATGACAAAATCTAAAAGCAAGATAATGATTAGAGATCTTGCAGTTAAAGAAGGGTGAAGATGAATAGATTGATGAAGAAACGGATAGAAACCTTTTGCAGTTTGTCCTGAATGTCAGCATCTGGTATTAGGTGCCAGTCAAAGTCTACCAGTTGACATTCCTGGGTGCACATCAGCTGGTACAGGCAGGGGTCAAGAGATTTGAGTCCTGGTCCGCCATGAGCCACAGACCATGCAATCAGCTTCCCCGCCAACTCATACTTGTGTTCCTCCAAGGCCATTTGGTCATAGGTGAAGAACAAGTGTCCAGCCTGCCCCTCAAAGATGCCCAGCGAGCTTTGCACCTCCATCATCAAGATTCTGAGGCAGGGGTAAAGGAGAAACAACACATGTCAAACAAAACTGTGACATATAGTGCATGTTTCATATTTGAGAACTGTTCTTTTACTGTACGTCTTGTAAAAGAATATGTATTCTTTGTAATAGGAATACCTGAAAAACTCTCTGCGTGGACCTCCACAGTCAAGTGCTTCCTCGCCAACAAATGTCACGAGAGGGATTTTGGTCCAAGGGAAATTAGAGTTGGAAACAGAATCTTTAGCACTCTGCAGCACCTTGTTACGAGAAACCAATATTGAAACATTCTCACTGCCACTGAGATGCATGTGCTGAAACTCTCTGAGCAAAGAGCCAAAGTCCATGTCCTCCTGTTGAAGAGATGTAAATAATGTCTTATGCTATCTTTCCAATCTTTCTGCAATGTCAATGCTGTACACCAGTTTAAGGTGTATGCAAATTTGTGTGTATTTCTTATATATATATATATATATATATATATATATACACAATAAGCATTAAAAAAATTTAAGAATATCATAATAAATATTATTACCATTGAAGAGTTTCGGCTAGAATCTGAAAGAAAACTGCTGGTTGAAGTCAGACGGTGCCTCTGTTGTGCAGGAACAGGTGGAGGAGAATGTGGTGGTGAGAAATCATTTGCATACATGACTGATGATATTGTGTTCGTGGTCATCTGTGAAAAATTAATAGCACAGTTTAATTGTTTGGTATTGTCAAGTAATTGTCAACTAGCAGGTTCAGGTGCAAAAAAGTGCCTTCAAAGAACAGCCGTGCTATAATTTCCTATAATGTAATTTCCTACTATACCTCATTTAGAATAATGTCTGTCTGAGGAACTATATAAAGTATGTTGTCAGCCAGCTCCTTTTTTATTTTCTTCAGAGTGTTTGAATGTAATCTGCAAAGTCGCCCACGTTTATCAGCCTTTGCAAAATGGAAACCAATCACACCCAGGT